CATCCAGCCTGACCTTGAGTGTCTCCAAGGCCGGGGCATCCACCTCATCTCTGGGCAACATTTTAAATTAAAAAAAAAAAAAAAAAAAGGAAAAAAGAAATAATTTCAAGTTAACTCTAAATTTGAGGTACTTGACAGGCAAATCATTTTGAATGAACTGAAAATAAAACTTTCATGACTTGTCTGGCCAGTAAATTAAAATTTGAACAGCTGTCATAATCATCAAAATATACAGCTTGTTGGCTGCAGCTATGCCAAGAGCAGGTTGTGCCATGAGCCCTTCCATACAAAATTCCCTTCCCACCCACATCCCCAAACTAATTATTCAAGATCAGACAGCTGTCCATAATTCAGAGTGGGCAGGGGAAGAAGTACTATTTTTTTTAAAGGCAGATTGTTAGGCTTCAGTCACTCAAACCTCTTCTAAATAAACTTGCTGACCTGGATGTAGGATCTTGGCTTCTACAGAGCCTGTTAAGTCTGATCCCAGGGTCCACAATGCTCTTCTTCTTTCATGGATTTGTAATTGTATTTAGCAACTGCAATCACAGAGGTGGCCAAAGAAAGCTCAGCATGGGATGGTGCAGCGTCACGAAGCTGGAAACTCCCAGTGAGGGTGTCATGATGCTTTCCATCCCAATTCCCTCAGCCACTATTACTGCCTGCAGCTCACTGACTCGTCCTGTGGGTCTGCTCTTGTAGCTGGTTTTTCAGATTCTTGCAACAGCTCCTTCTGCCTGGCTTTGGGATGTCATTTGCCCTGAGAATATCAGAGAATGTGCTGATCTTCTGCTCTGTGCAGTGAGGCACAGATGGGGCTTTCACCTGTGAAGTGGGAGGTAATGTGGGCCTGTGGAGCTTTCTGTTTCCCTTGCTGTGTGTATGCTTGGTGAGAAGGAGTGGATCGCTGTGGGTGATGCTGACGGCAGTGCAAAGCTATCCGGGCTCCACCAGGTGTCAGTGTACACCTCTCTACTATGATATTTCTCCTTTTGGGTTTTCACTCTTACCAGCCCTTCCAGATTAAAGGAATGCAGTAGAATTAAGGAACATAGAACTGAGTAATAGTGGAGGCTTATACATATGGTCTTGGCTGGTGTAAATAAGCATTATTTCATGAACTTCTATGGAAGCAGATGCAGGCTTAACTCCTGAGAAGTCTGCTTGAGTGTTTTGCTGTAATACTTGCATCTTTGAATAATTCCCTGTCAGTAGGAAGAGCATGGAGCTGGGTGAGCTGTTAAGTTCTCAAGGCTTTCTTTATTTCAGAGCATATGCAATAGACATATGCAATAAATGATTTTAGGTAACACTGGTGTTGGAAGCAAAGCTTTCACAACTACTGCTATTGCCTGCGCTGTGCTGTTACATACAAAATGTCAAGATTTAACAGTGTCTAAGTTTCTTTTTCTGTTAAAAGTCCATTGTAATCCTTTACTAAATAGAGAAGCATAAATGCACAATCTTAAAACTGTTCCTTCCCAGCATACTGTAGTAATGAAGTTAGTAATCTCTGATGAAAGCTTCTGAACTATAAAAGCAGAATTGTAGTTCTACTTACTGATATAGTATAACTCTTAGGCTTCCACAAAAAGCATAGTCTCACAGTTTTGGCACTTCTCTCTCTATATTTCAGTACATAGCTGAGAACAGCTTTTGTGATATTCAGTTTTAGGCACAGATGTCACCCTTTTCTGCCCTTGTGAGTGCTCTGGCATATTGAGTTTCTAGCTCTCTTGGGTACTTACAGATCAGTGCTTCCCAACTCTTGATATACTTGTCTTCACAGCCATTTGGAAGGAGGAAAACAGGACTGTGGAGTTCATTTGGGTTTGTGGAAGCAGCAGCTAGAGATTTATCCAGGTTGGTTTGGTTTGTTTCAATCTACTGTCTTTGCTAGATAGAAGTAACACACGTTGCAGTGTGCATTTCAGTTAACAAGAGCCATAAACAAGGCTTTACAGGAATGCTTTTTACTACATAAGAGGCCTCCGTGTATTAATCATCAAAACAAATAGAATTTGACTTTTTTTTTTTTCAAAATAAGGTCTCAGTAACTGGGATAGACAGAATGAAATTCAGAAACAGATGCACCAAAATGCTAGGAATTGCAACTCCTTTGCAAAATGGATTCTCATGAGGGTTGTCCATGAAGGGTTCCTCAGCTGAAATTTATCAGTTTTTATACTTAATCACATGCTGGTTTGTTAAATTACCCTTTCTTACTTTACTGCACTGATCCTTCTTTTCTCATCAGAACTGTGGTCTCATGCTGTGAGAACAGGTAGATGATTAATCTCTCTAGCCCTCTATGATTACATGGTCCTGAGGAGCTGTTGGGAACATCTGGAAACATCTGAACACCATGTTAGGACAAAAAGCGCAAAGACTTGTTAGGAATTCAGATGTTAGACAGATATGAGAGCATATTTTGCTTTGAAATATATCCTGCCTTTCTCCAGTGGGATTCTTGTTGTATGGCCCTGCATTCGTGGTGCTTTGAACGTTCAGGTATTGTCACTGGCTGTGTGTAGACAAAGATGTCCCTGCTGCCTGGAGCACGACTGTTCCACTGCACCAGAGCTGTACAGTTAGCTGAGAAGGCACAGTGTCCTCTGGGCTGTGTTGAGCTACTGCAGAAAGGCTCTGACCCAAGCAGGAAAATTCCCAACCCGTGGGTTACTATGGAGTAGCCACATTTGAAGTTGAAGTACTCATTCACAACTGTGCAAGTCAGGGCTCAGGGACTGATGATTCGTACAGCCATTCCCAATTTATGACAGTCTGACAGACAGGAAAACTTACATCTATCTAAGAATGATGTTGCTTTGCCACTACCTGTAGGAAAACTGATACACTGAGATACACTTTGAACAGTCTAGTGGTCAAGCAGTGTTGTATTTCCAGCTCAAACTAGTGATGGTCCAGTGGCAGTTCCCCCTTGGCAGCTGTGCCTTCATTAGCCTGTTGCAGCAGCAGCTTGCTGTGAGAGCACACAGCTGTGTGGCACTTATCCATACCCCCAATAAAGGTGTGCAGTTGGTGCAGCCTTTCAGGCAGAGAGCAGGGATGCAGAGCAGAGCGTGGACAGAGTTGCCCATTGTGGCACCATCATGAGCCTGTGGGAGTTCCAGGCCAGAATCCAGGAGTTGGTTCCACTCCCAGAAAGGTCAACGAAACCCATTTGAAGTAGAATGATTTCATCCAGTGCTGCATGCTGAGTGAGTCACCAATGCTACTACTACTAATAGCATGGGCTGCTTCAGGTACAAGCTAATGGAGTGCAACAGTGGTAACCAAAGTCTGGTGAGCTTGCAAAAGGACTTTTGGAACGGAGTATCTTTTATGAGGAAAGTGCAAACATAGCATGGTGCTGAAAAATGATTTGAGCTAGAAGGAAAAAACAGGTGTCACTGTGTGTTGAGGATGTTAAACATTGCTGTGTGGGATTCTGACTCTGTGCAGCACTTCTTTTCCGGCCCCTTCACCTAAAACAGAATGATAGAATTGCTCAGGTTGGAAAAGACCTTAAAGATCATCAAGTCCAACCGCAACCCAACAATACTACCCTAACTCTAACAGCCCTCCACTAAATCATGTTCCTAAGCAAATAGTTTTCCTTAAATCACAAAAATCTCCTTTTCTTTCACAGAAGAGCAGAGCAAATACTGAAATAATCTCCGGAGATGTTCTGCAGATATTTCTGCTTCTTCAGTCTGTGTCTTTTCCTTCAAACACAAAGGCAAGTAGAGCGTTTGTTTTGCTTTACAGGTCATCTGAATTACGATTAACATAAGTAATGTGGATCAAAAGGAAACAATGCTTCCAGTTTTACAGCTCACTCATAGGAAGTTGGGTGCATTAAGGGGTCAGGCAGAGGGAGCAACCTGCACAGGTTCCCAAAATATAATGTACATTGATAATGCAAGCTCTTTTTCTCTGTTCAAGAGCAGGAAATTGTGGTAGTTTTGCTCACTGTCCTCTTCCACCCCATTTCTTCCAGTTGTTACTGCCATCCCTGACTGCAGTCAAGTTCTAAAGGCTCTAATATAGTTAATGCTGCACAATAACTGCTCAGTTCTGCTGTAAGCTTCTTTTTGATCTAAAATCTTCAGCAAGCATCCAAGGACTATTAACCCATCTTTAAAGGACAGGCCAGCAGTCCTGAGTCTCTGGAGAGAGGCAGCACCTCCTTCAGCCCTTCACAGAGCAGTATCAAACTCATAATGTCTCACTCACATTTTCATCAAGTGAACACATGCCTCCACTAGCACAGTGCACCATGGCACCTTTTTTATGGCCCCCAAACTCTGTAGCTTTCTATTTACAGGATGGCACAGCTCTGGGAACCTCACAGTACCACGTATCTGCTGTATCTTCAGTACAGAAAATGTTAATTTTGATATGTAGTGGTAATTTGGAGTGGTAATCCTGCTCACGGTGCTGCCTTGCTGTCTGTGAAGAGCTCGCTGTTTTACCTCTCCACTTCTTGGCATTCTTAGAGGCTTCACTCTGGCAGCTGTTGGGATGCTGCCCGATGCTAACAAATAAGGATGAAAGCTTGCTTATGGGAATGATGATTAAGAAGGAGAAGCTGTTGGGCAGTAAGATTTGTCCTGGGTTATTGTAGGAGGAAAAAGGTTCCTTGTATACATTTTACGAGGAGGAATGAGAAGGGGAGATTACAGGTTACTATTAAGCTTTGTGATGTATTGCCCTTGCTTGATTTGCCTTTTAAGAATGTCCTTAAGCCACTGTCTGGAAACCTGAGATTATTTGTTCAGGCTATTTGCTGTATTCCCACCTCTCTAAGGTATTAATTATTCAGCCAAGGTAAGCAGTGTCAGTAAGTGTTCATTATTTCAATGATGTACTTTTTTAAATAAATATTTTATGTAATTTGCTTCTTTGAGCACAGGCTGGGGATGCAGCTGCACACCTGATGTGCCCAGCATGCCTGGCCACATACTTACCAGTACATTATTTGTGTCCTCAGGAAATGCTCACTTGGACGTGTGTCCAGTTTGGGTGGCAGTGATGCAGCATCCCTCCCTGGATTTAAGAACCTCACGATGGGATACAACAAATACCTCAGGCCCTACTTTGGTGGTACGTTGGCTCTGTGCATTTCACTATTCAAAGAACAGTCTGTAATGCTTGTGTAGAGTGGTGAGCATGCTTGAAGCTTTCAATAGCATGCCCCAGCTTAAAAGGTTGAGTTCTTTTAAAATTAGCTAGTAGCCAAGGCTGCTCTCCTTTCTGTGCATCCAGTTATCTTGAATGTGTTGTGCACACATGCATATATGGGGCAGGAGAATGTGTCCATCTATGAAGGTGAGGGAATTTATAAACTTCAACATCTCTATGAAAGATCTGACAATAATTAAATTCTGCTGTAATCATGTATGTTTTTGTTTAGAGCCTTACCCATGTGATTTTCTGCTTTATTTTTGTTTGTCAGATTACTCAGTGGACATAGAGGAATTCTCCTTTCCAGAAATATTGGCTTCTGGCACATGCATTCCCCTGACTCTGAGACAAAAACTAAATCTCCTTTAAACCCCTTGTGAAGCTCCAGAGAGACAGCATCTGAGGGGCAGTCAGTTATTTAGGAACTCACCTGAGGCTACTGTCAGCTGTCAGGTCTCCCACCTCCTAGGACTTCTTGCAACCTCTTGGAGGGAAACGGTTTCAGGAGACATTCAGCACCTGAAAAATAATGATGAAAGCTTACAAAAATACTGTGAACATTTATCATAAACTTTGCTTGTCTTCCAGTACGCATTACCACAACAAAGCCTACTAGAAAAATTTCCTATCAGCTTTCTCCAGGAGTTGCACATTTCTCCGTTGCAGCTCCTGCAGACTGACTTCCTGCTCTTCGCAGCTTTGAGTTTCTTCCTTTTTCTGACCATGGTGGTACATTTCTAGGACAACACGGCATTTAGCAGCTTGTTATGCACAAAATGTCTCATGCAGGAACAGAACAGCTCTGCTAGAGCCTGTCACATAAGCAAACTGAAGCTTCCAAATTGCATAACAGACACATTATACCAGACTATGCCATCTAGAGCCATGAGATACAAATGGTCAGGTTCAGGTTTGACCTCCTCCAGAGTTTTAGTGGGTTTCAGGTGTTTAACAATGAAGGAAGGATGTAAATAGGCTACATTAAAATATATATACACATATTTTATGCAAATGACATATCTTTTTGATTTGGAACATTTCAAAAACAAACAAAAGAACTGTAACAGCAACAACACAACACCCTCTAAATCAGAAAGAAATTCAGAAAGTGTCCTATAGACTTTCCTGCATGTGATTAAGAGATGAGGAAAAGGAGTTAGAGCAAGTCCCACGCAGAACGGCATTGCTGTTACCACAGGGGCAGAAGGCAGTGCACCAAGCCATGCTCTGAGCAGGACATCCATCCGTGGGCATCAGCTGCCCTCTGGTGGTGGATTTCAAGAGTTGAGGATAGGAAGTAGACAACCAGGATTCAGGACTACCTGTGACGCTGTGTCTGCTGGTCCTTCGGGTTTCTGCAGTTTCAGAGAGCACGGTGTGCTGGGGTAGCTGGGAGCAGTGCCTGTGCTGGGCAGCGGTTTTACTGCACCTTACATTCTCTTTCCTTCCACAGGAGAACCTGTTCAAATTGCAATGAGCCTGGACGTTGCAAGTATTTCTAGTGTATCTGAGAGTGACATGGTAAGTGAATTATTTTGCATAAGAGAGAATAGAATCTGCTTGAGAGACTTTTCATGTTACCTTGTGGTCAGCACCGAAACTGTTCTATTCAAGCTGCTTTGCTTTTAGTGTGACCACTTCTCAGGGGTGTGAGGAGAACTGGGCTCTCCTACAGCTGCAGGTTACGTGGATGCCATAGAAATATGGGCTTGTTAGTGAAGAGATGGCCCTGCTGGTTTAAAAAAAAAAAAGTCTAAAAACAAAAATCATCTTAGAGTGTATGTGGGAAACATAATCAAACTGTGATGACCTGTTGGTTCTACTGCATGCATTTGGAGCTCAGCTTTGATGGGTTAAACAAACACATTGTGCCTTGTCACACGTGGCATGTGCCTACAGTTGATGGCATGCAGGTGTTCTGGACGTGCATCCCCTGCTTCTTCTTCTTCCCAGGATTACACAGCCACCATCTACCTGCGGCAGCGCTGGACAGACCCACGCTTAGTCTTTCATGGCAACAAGAGCTTCACGCTGGATGCTCGTCTAGTGGAATTGCTCTGGGTACCAGACACGTACATCGTGGAGTCAAAAAGGTCCTTCCTGCACGATGTCACTGTGGGGAACCGCCTCATCAGATTGTTCTCTAATGGCACTATCTTGTACGCCTTAAGGTAAACCAACCTTTGGCTTCCCTGATGACAGTGGTTCAGAACAGATTTCCAGAATTATGCAGAGATTAAGGAGCATCAGGGAACGTGAGCAGGAGATCCTGGTGGAGCAACTCCCTGCCATACCTGTGAGAAAGGCACTGGGGTGATACACTCCTAATAGTGGTGGACCCTGCCATGTTGCCGTTGGACAGATGGAGGGGACCAGATTCTTTACGCAGAGTGGTGAGGTGCTGGAGAGCCCAGAGAGGCTATGGATGCCTTGTGCCTGGAGATGTGCAAGGCCAGGCTGGATGGGGCCCTGGGCAGCCAGGTCTAATGGCTGGCAACACTGCCCATGGCAGGAGGGTCAGAACTTAAATGATCTTTAAGGTCTACTCCAATCTAAGCCATTCTATGATGAAATTGTTTGCTAATCTGATGCCACTTAGCTGTGATTTCTTCTCTTTAGCAAGAAGTGTTTGTGTACGTGTACTGTGGAAATGTATGTTGTAACTGTGTAAGGTCTTAGTGTTATCTCTTCCCAGTTTAACATAACTGCCAGTGACTTCAGCTTATAGCAGCTTTACTTGCAGTGAATTCATTTACTCTGCACTGAAGCAAGCCAGGGTGTGCATGCAGTTAGTTACTGTGCCTCAGGTGGCAAGGGGTAACTTCTTTGTAAGTGCTAACAATAGCAATGGAAGCATGAGAATCTACTTTGAATCTACTACTCACAGCAGGGCAAAATTCCTCCTTCGGTTACATTTTCATCAGTACGGCTGCAGAGAGTGTATCTTAAGGAGGGTTCTTTCTGATTATAGCAGCTCCTTCATTTTATAGGTCAAAATGATCTAAATGACAAATCAGAATTCTTGTAGTGGTCTTCTCTGCTATGTAGAAATAGTACAGGTGAAAGGTAGAAATACTGCATTATATGTTTTTATTGTGATTTTTGGAGTTCTTTCTCCTACAGAATTACTACTACTGTTGCTTGTAACATGGACCTTTCAAAGTATCCCATGGACACACAGACATGCAGACTGCAGCTAGAGAGCTGTAAGTATAACAAAACCTGGCTGGATGTTTGTTTGTTCCTACTGAATATGCATCTTAAATATTTGCATTTATCACAGTGAGCTCCTGAAGTAGCAAATATTAATGTCCAAAAGAAAACAACTTTCTTTCATTATTCTTCAAATGTCTGTGCTGTCACCTACAGATTAGAGGACTTTTGCCACTGCAATTAAAACAAAAGCGGTAACAAATCCTATCTTTATCAAGGAGTAAATTGTTCAGTTTTATATAGAAATAATTTAATACTAGTTGCTGGTTTTCCAAATGTGGTCCCTTTCTGCACAACTTCCCACATTGCTTCTGAAACCTGCTGTACCTCCCAAACCTGCCCTGCCTTCTCTGTGAGGGTCGCCTGTTACAGTAATAGAGATGGTGAGACCCTTATCAGCAGGAGGAGTCTCAGCCTTGCAGATCTCAAGAAAAGGAATTGTCAGTGAGTTCTGCTCTTAAATTAAATGTTCATCTGTGGCAAAGTTGGCTAAGAACTCTAAGAACAGGTAAATGCTCAAAGAATACCTGGGATACTACAGGGCTTTTCCCAGGAGCTCAACAAGAGCAGAACTGCTGTTATGGATCTGTGAAGCTCTGCAACAAGCAAGCAACTTCCTCCCACTTTGTGTCACAAAAGGAAATGCTTGAAATCTCAGTGCTGAAAAGGGCACATTAAATTTCTGGGGCTGCAGCGTGAAGCACCTAAGGAAGCACATATTACTTTCACATTAAAATCATATTAGTTCACCGTGGTTAACTTTATTACAAAGAATAGCTCCTGAAATAATAATGATTGCCCTCTTCTGCCAAAGAATAGCTTGTTTGGGTCTGCTTTAAACGTGATTGGGTCCTACATCATGCTGCATAATTCCAATGAAATTACATGCACATTGCCCACTGGAGGCTTCGCTAGGATAAGTGCCCAGAAATAATGCTGTTTAAACATTTGCCAGATGAATTAACAACAATTTATCATTTATTATAAAATTTTCCTTATTAATCACAATTTATAAAACTGTTTAGAAATTTTCAACAGTCACGTGCTTATGACTCTACATAGGGATTCATACCCTGGACACCTACTTTACGAGTTCATCATACTCAAGCTCTGGTAATTTGTATCTAATTAAAAAACAAAACAAAACACCACAATTAGGTAAAAATAGAACTGCAACTGCATCTTATTCCTTCTACGAGGATGAACAGGTCGTTATCAGAATAAAGGCATCCCTACTCATTTTCCCGTAGAAGGGCACTTAAAAAAAGAATCAAGTCAGTGAGATTGATAGGCTTTTTTCCTCAATTAAGTGTAAAATGTTGAAGTGAATGGCTAGCTGATGCCTGAGTACAAGCTCCATCCCTCAGACTGGAGTATGGGATGAAGTAACCTAACATTGTGTGATGCCATCGCTTATGTTCCTGGAGCAATTTTGCAGCCAGCGCATGTATGTATGTAGGCTGTTCTGATAAGAACACGGACTGTTAATCTCATCTATCCCAGTGTTTTGGAGCAGGAATTCAGTGTTACCTAAGCACTAAATACATTTACTTGTAAAGAGACCTGGGCAACACGTAGTCAGAAGAGCCTGGTTTATAACTGCATGAGAGTCTGAGCTCCACACTCTCAAATAAGAAAACCTTTTCTGATATTCTGAAGCAGTTGAATAGATGGGCCAGAGCAATGTGCCTCTTCAACCTGGTAGGGGGCTCAATGCGATCTGTACTCTGTTTTAGTTTTAGGTTTATTTAACTGTTGCAATCCTCTGCTCATCTTATGTGACCAAAGGGATTATGCTCAAGGCTTGAGATTGCTGCAGTAGTTTTATCCTGCTCTGTGCAATCGATCTGGGGATGCCATGAATGTTAAATAATCTTTAACAATGTTAAAATAATTTAAAATACACAACGAAGATGTCTGAAACGGGTTCTCTGCACTCTTTCATGTTGTGCATCACTCACAATGATGTGTGTTCCTAAGTCGAATCAAAACCAGCAGACTGAAAACACACAAGCAAAAGGAAGAGCCAGCTTCCACCAATAGCTGATGCAGTGAGAGGGTCTTTGTGCAGCCTACAATGTGGAGGTGACGTTTCTGCTTCCACCCAATGGGGAACGCAGAGCAACAGCTGGGCATTATTGGGTGACCGCAGTAATATGAGTCTTTGTTCTCTGTAGGGGGATATGATGAAAATGATGTCATCTTCACGTGGCTGAGAGGAAATGACTCTGTCCACGGCATAGAAAAGTTGCGGCTCTCTCAGTACACAGTGGAACGTTACTACACCCTCATCTCAAAGTCACAGCAGGAAACGGGTAAAGCAGTGAAGGAGAAAAGCAAGAAAAACCCTAAATATCTCCCCTCTCACCTCCCCTCTCTTCTACAGACTACTGCAGTTTGACTCTAGAAACCTCAAACAAAGCCTCAAGCAAAACTTAATTGTACAAAGAGATGGGAAGAAAGTGAAATCCAGTTCACTGCAATCAGGATATTCTGTGGGATGGAAAGATGAATCTTTTAATATTCTACATTCACTTAATCAGTTTTCTTTAAATTCTCAGTGTCTTCCTCCACAGACACCTGAATTAAACCTTCAAAATATACTTTCTTCCTAACTGACAATTACGTAAATACTCTCTTGTTCACTCAGATGTTAGGGAAGGGGGCAAGTCTTCCTGAAAATGGCCAGGTTTTATAAACGATGGGGTTTTCTTCTGTTTACTGTAGTGTACACAGCCAAAGAACAACGTGTTTTTTGTTTCCACGCTTCAAAGGGAGCTATTGTTTAAACAGCAGAAATATCTCCTGAAAATACTTACGGTCCAGCTCCTAAATCCTTATGTCAGTATAAAGACAAGCTGATTTTTAAAAAAGTAGACTGAAATTTTTTGGAGTGCAAAAAGACACAGTTACCAAAGATCACAAATTACTAATGAATAAAGGGGACGTAAATCCCTGTGATGATAAGATGATGGGATGCTTTGGGACATGAACCAAAGCATGCTGAAATCAAAAGAAGATCTTTTGTTTAATTTCTCGGCCATCAGATAAGAATGAATTTGGCAGTGGCCCTTCAAAGTAGTTCTTGGGAAAAAATATGCTGTGCTGAAAAAGAGAATAGAAAAGAGTACTGGCCCTTCTCCACTTGGAGTTATAACACTGGATTAAAATATTCCCAGTGTGGATTAAGTTAGGAGCCCCACTGCAAACCATGCATTGTGTGTACATGTGCTTTTGTCTAGGATATGTTAGATAAGAAAAATTTCTGAGGCAAGGAGTCAAGCTTCTGTAAGTAAGGCATCTCCCATGATCTCATTGAGGCTCCACTGAATGGTGCTGGAGAGTCCCCATTTCAGGCTGAGGGTCCTTGGAAATCTCCTCACGATCACTTTCTCCCTTTTGTGAACAGGCAGTTACCCACGACTGATACTGCAGTTTGAGCTGAGAAGAAATGTCCTTTATTTCATCTTGGAGACCTACGTGCCATCTACTCTGCTTGTTATGTTGTCCTGGGTTTCTTTTTGGATCACGCTGGATTCAGTGCCTGCAAGGACCTGCATTGGTGAGTGCCTGAGAAAGGGAGATTTCAGCAGGCAAGGAGTGCCTCTGATGGCTGGATAGATGGTAATTTTCTTGAGTCTCTGATTTAACAATCTGCTCACATTCTGCCTTTACTGGCTCCTGGTGGGTTTACAGCGAAGGACAGAGCACACGTTCTTCCTAATGAGCCTTGGTGGAGGGAAGTTTTTGTATTTTTTTTTTCATTATTATTAATTGAAAGAATGGAAAGTAAAAGCGAAGTACCTGTCAGAGCCAAGCTGTCAAAAGCAGGGAGAACGTCTGTGAAGCTAGTAGCTAGTGCTGCTAACTGCAGTTCAGTTGATGGATCTGCTAAGAGAAGATGTGTTGTTTTTGTATAGCAGCAGAGTGACGCTGCTCCCACTACTGGGTACACGGATAGAGGATAGGCCAAGCCTTTCCCTAAGTGTCTGTGTGAGAAGGTCTTTTCTGTTTTTCAAGGAGTAACAACTGTGCTTTCCATGACAACTCTGATGATCGGCTCACGAAGTTCGCTTTCAAAAACCAACTGTTTTATTAAGGCCATTGATGTTTACCTCGGCATCTGCTTCACCTTCATCTTTGGTGCCCTCGTGGAATATGCAGTGGCTCACTACAGCTCATCACAAAAACATACAGCTAAAACACCTCGAGAGGTAAAGTCTGATCTACCAGAACAAAAATCGTTATCTCAGATGAACAATAATTAGTCTTTTATTAACTGCATGCGACTGTTCTTCCTGCTATGGGTACAGCTCACAGCTGCTTCTCCTAATTGTCACTAAATGTAATTTTTTTGTTTGCAACAAATGCAACAGCAGTGATTATGAAGATACCTAGGCCTAGAGTGAATTGCTCAAAGCAATCTGCTTTAGTGGAAGACATGAAATATTCACATATGACAATAGCCCAGTGGTCAGCAAGGATACAAATCCTGACAGAAATGAAAGAGCTACCCCAAGTCCCTGCTGATTTCTCCAGCTATTTATTGTGTAGAAGTGAAGAGAGACAGATCGCCATGTCTGGCCCATAAGGCCTTGAAGAAGATGGACGTTGTGTTGCTCAGTCATGTCAAGAATTAGATTTCTTTAAAGAACTAAAATCATCTAGAAATAAAGCAGTGGAAGAACGTACATCTGTGGGACTCTGAAATTAGCTTTGAATATTGGGGTTTTTGATGAACACATATGAAGCTGTGTGCTTACATCTTTATCCCTATGGTCTCTTTATTTATTGATACTTTTCCTCTGTAGAAGAAGCCAAACCTTACAACTGTGGTATAACTGGTTTGTATACTCTTCTTTCTTAGGGGCCTGCAAATGAACTTACTAAAGAAAAGGAAGAAATCAACATCACTGGAATCCTCAGCAGCTCCATCACCAGCTATAAGCAGCAAATTGGTTTTACAGGCATTGAGATTTCCAGTGATAATATTAACTGCAGTGACTTGACTATGAAAACTCACGAGAAAATCAAATGCTTCTTGAGAAACAAAATGTACAGGATTATCGGTTATTTCACAATTCAGAACCCCAGTAATGTAGACCACTACTCCAAATTGCTTTTTCCATTGTTTTTTATGCTGGTCAATGTGTTTTATTGGGCTTATTATTTATATTTTTAGCAGGAATGGGTTTTTGTGTTCTCTTAGTGGGAAAGGAATCCTGCCAATGGTCATCTAGCTAACTAATCTCTGTGAATCCTCAGTGAAGCACAGACAAAATGTTCTGTGTTTCCTGAGGTCTGGAGCAAAAGAGTGGGTGGGGTATGTGAGATACAAAGCCTTCATGCTTCAGCATTAGCAACAGTGACTCTGGACACTTGCCTGTCCCGCCGAGTGGCTTTGCTGGGCTTTTGGCTGGTATGGGCTCTTCATTCCAACATCCAGCCTCTTTGGCTGGGGATGGATATGTAGGACTGCATGTGGCAGTCCACAGATTACCAGAGGTAGCAAAATTATCCTGATAACCTGAAGTGGATTGGAACCTTCTAGTTTAGATCTTTATGAGGATGTACGATTATAGCTGTTCTTCTGTGTTTGCCAGAGATAACAGTAACAGAGGGACTGTGACTGCCATCTCAACAGCTCCTCTGTTCAAGTAAGTGAACCCAAAGGCAGCAGTGTGCTGTGCGCAGAGGAATGGCTCCCGTGCATGGCACTTCCCTCTCCCAGGGGTGATGCAGCACCAGAGCAGTGATTTCAGTGATGCTGGCAGCAGCAAAGTGCTATGCCTTGCTGTTTTTAATATCTGGCAGACTTGGTGAGGTAATCCTCATTTGCTGAAGACAGATCTGTGAGACAGATGGATGGGCTCTTCATTTGTAAAGGTGTTTTGTTGTTGTTGTTTTTTGCTTTTGCCAGAGATTTGGGTACAGGGTCTACAGGCAACAAAAGCCTTTTATAAAGCATCTCATGCTTTCCCTGTTGTGCTGCTGGCTGTTGTGCTACAGTTGAGCAGACTTCACTCCCTTCCATGTCTTCCTCACAAACAGATTGATTTTCATTCTGGAGAGTGCCTTCAGTTTTCACTCTTATAAGTAGCTCTTGTTTCCTGCCAGTCGTGCAGAAGTGGCCAGTTTGCTGTCCCTCCTTATATATGGCTCAGCAGCTGTGGTGAGTCAGCAGTTCTGTTGGGTGAAAAATCCATGAGTGGGGCTAAAAGGCACAATGATCCCAATCAGCTTTCTCCTTTCTGTTTAAGTCTGAAAAGTTTCTGCAGAAATTCATATCCTAAGCAGGCCCTGGAAACTGCCAGTTGGCTTTACTTACACTGCAGCTAGCAATAGAAATAAATCTGAGGCACATCCTTCAAATGCTAAATATTTGGGAACCAAATGGCACTTGGTACTACGTATCTTCAGACTATTGGAAGGGTCTTCATTTCCCAAGTTTAAAATCAATGTGTGTAGCATGCTTTTTTCCCTCCTTTTTAATTTATGCAACTTTCATTGCTTTGAGGGTGTAGTCTTGCAGTTTCATAGGCAAAAAAGTAATTGACTGTAGTGGCTGCCAGTCAGCAGGAGTTTGTGCTGAATGAGGTCTCAGCATGCAGTTCATATTCTAGTCTCATGCCTGCATGAGTCCGCAGTCTTACTGGGACTTGCTATAGAAGGTGGGCAAAGCACGTGAAACTATAGATTATTTTTTTTAACTTTAATAACTTGTTATTGAACCACCTCACCACGCTATATTGTGGAGGATCTAAGCCACATATTCATAAATCATAGATTTTACAAAGAGCAGCACAAAAAGACAAAGGGGAACAGCCTTAGAGTGGCAAGTGAATAAACACAAACTCTAATAATGAAATGTTGGCTTGTATATACTGGCATTTAAACTCCATTCCATAAAATGTAATAAAGTGAATATTGGTGATATGAACACAAACCCGCAGAGAGATCCTCTATTAAAAAAAAAAAAAAGAAAAAAGAAAAAAATCATTGCCTTCTTTGTCAATTTCTTTCTTTAAAACCTAACTAAAATGCCCTTGTGCACTCCGTAACAGCTGCCAAATATTAATGTTAACAAAAGGAATTTCTTTGTACATTATGGCAGAAGACGTATGAGTTGCCTGAGCTGCCACTCTCAATGCTTGCTGTCAATAGATGCTGCTTTTTTATTTTACTTTTTTATTCTTCCGTGGCTTTGAGATTGCTCAGGGCTGGTTCTGAGTTACACATCTGTGCAGCAAAGTGTCATTCACAGACTGGGCCAAGTGAAAGGCACGTTGTCTTGGAAAGTGTCAGCTCTATCTGCTGATTTTGTAACGGCATGGAGGGAGGGAAAGAAAGTGGTAAGAGAAGGATATTTTTTTTCAGTACCATATGAAAGTGTTATTAAGGAGCTACTGGAGTAGACAAAGGAAACATCTAACTTGAAAAAAACCTCAGTATATAGAAATATGGGTTCCTGCTTTATTTGCTCTACTTTTACTTCTAGTAATGGACTTTATAAATAATACACCACGTGTTTGCCTGCTGTAACATGAGGTCCTAAGTCTGTGGCCTGTCCGCAGGGTGGTCCTGAGGACTGTCAGCAGTCAAAGCTACTCTCAGCAAGGAATAGATAGCAGAAGTACAAGACAAAGTAAGTAAGCTGCCTGTGCTCCTACTGCAGGTACATTGGGCATATTGGAGGGACCAAAGTTAATATTTTGCAATTGCACATTTTATAGTGAAGCAAGTCAACTCAACTTCCCCAATACCCTGGAGTAGTCCCGTGTTATTGCTGGTGTTGCTGTGGTCCCACATCTGGTTCTTGGCAGAGACAGATGACCAGCATGAGCCCATTTTGTTCTTCAAAGTGGTCAGGATGGTGCACTGCAAGATCCTGTCTTTCCTGTCCCTTTCAGGTGTTGTCTAATATAAGCTAGAAGCACCACTAAGTTCAAGATGGGAGACTTTCATATTCTGATAGGTGTATAATACAGAGCAATTTCTGTGTTTCTGGTATGCTAAGGTAAGCCCTGCTACCCTGACAGACATCAAATGGAAATCTTCCTTTTGCACAAAGGACTGCTATGTAACATGTACCCTGCTGGTGAGAGCAAAGCCACAGGTAAGCTCTGCACACAGGCTCTGGTTTGCTTAAGGGGTCAGCCTGGTTGTATGCTTCATAGGGAACAAGAGGAGTTCTGAGCAGCTGCCCGTTCTCTGAAAGATCTCTGGTCTCTAAGGTAATGAGCTGAGCTGGGAGCTGTTTCATCTCCCACTGACTACATCTGCCTGACAGCACTGGCACCACAGATCTGGAACCAAGATCCACCCCTAATGTTCCCTGTTCCATCACGATGCCAGTTTGATTGTGCTCTTGGCCAAATGGAAATGTATGAAAGAAAAGGTTTACCTGCTTTTTCTGAGATGATTTTGCAGTGATGGCCTGGTTCGTTGCAACCTTTCCTTATGAGTATTTTCTGAAGCTATACATTTTGGAATTCTATTTTTTAAAAAACATGCTCTTCAAGCCTTTGCAGAGAAATGGTTGTGAATGTATTTATAGAATCTTTTAGGTTGAAAAGGACCCACAGGAAAACATGCTGCTTTCAGGTGATGCAAATGCTTGTATTTGGTGCAACCCAGAGAAAAATTATGCCTTAGAGTATGCTATGTAGAGTTGTCTTAGCTAGTGCGGACCAAAGGCAGTCTAGCCACAGCAGCATCAAGTATTTTTGGGATTATGTGCCTAGTTTAAAATATGAAACCACTGCACTACAGAGGAGGGCTAGAACAGATTATTACAGCCTGTTTGCAGACCTTTACTAGAGCCAACGTGAATGTTAGAGAGTAACTGAGTGATAGATACAAATCATCTTTGCATCCAGCATCATCCTGCTTCCTTCCACATCCCCCACCTTTGTTTTTCCCATCTCCTCTCGTGTCCTCTTCACCCCAGCACAAGCAGGTCCTGTGCTGCAGCAGCCACCAGCTTGAGATTGAGATGATTCTTGCATTTTGAGGAGGAGGATGTGTTCAGCTGAGGAATCCTATTGTCTCAGAACATGTGGCTTACATTATGATATCTGAAAGGTATTTCTATAGTCAAACACTACCATCTGCTGCTTGCGTTTTTAAAAGGTTAATTCCACCTCAAACCTATTCATTGAATGAGTAGCAGAAATCTTATTTCTTATTTGCTTCTGGCATTTAGTGTCACAGCACGCAGCTAGCCAGAAAACCATCTTTTCTTGGAAAAGCTGTAAAATGCTGGTAATTAGCACAGTTTCACTACAAATTCTCACTGAAATAACTTCTGTATTCATTGTTTTAAATTATGATCTAGTGTTATATCTAGGATCAGACAACAAGCTTCTTGTAAATTTGAGGTGAGTATTAAGTCTGTAATTAATACTGCAATGTTTCCTTTCTTACTTTTGAGTTCTGTGTCCTAAACAGTACAGTTCTTCTGAAAGTTCCTTTTGTCTAAAACTCTTTTTTAGTTGTCATGCTAGAGGAGCACTCCAAGAGAATTCAGTTTTGAACTGCAAGCTGCTTTGGTAGGAATAAGAAATCTGTTATGTCTGATTTTCTTGGTTGGATTAATGCAGATGCTTTTGACTGCAAACAATAAATCCTTATTTTGAAAGTATTCATACAAAGCTAACATATGGGTGATCATCCCCCCCTGATAAGCAGTATTAACAGAAGACTTATGAACTGTAAACTCAGAGAAGGAAAGCAAATTAAATTTTAGGTATTGTAGTGGAAATGGTAAGTCACAACCTGAAGCAGTGATTGAGCACCTGGTGGGAAGGCAGGGCCATCCCAGGGGAGCTCTGCCAGCAATGCACCTGAGTGACTGGAAGGGGTGGAGCCAGGATCCATCCCTCCCCAGATCTCATTTAAGGGTTGGCAGTGAAAGCATCTTTTGCTGGAGATCCCTGCTTTCCTGAGGTCTTTCAAAGGTAAGCAGCTCTTTTCCTTCATTTCTAAGTCCGTGGCTGCTACGCTTGGGCTCGTTCTCATTTGCTGTAGCTGAAGACTTTACCACCCTGCTATTATCATAGCATTACAGGTACAAATGACTTTTTCTCACCACCAAAAAGAAAGGCCTTTGTGCAATGACAGCATACTACATGAAGATTCCAGACTGTAAGCAAAGTTGTGAGTGTACTGGCACAGTTCTGATTCAGCAGAGAACTTCAGCGCAGAGAGGTTGCTGAGTCCCGTCAGCATTGCAGCTGGGTGCACCAGGCAGTTGCATCTGCTCAGCACTGAGATGTCCAGAGGCAGAACCTGACAGCATGCTGCCCTGGAGGTCTGTGAATCTAGAAGCTGTCTCTTTGGTTTTTTTGCCCAGCATGTTGTGGGCTTTTATATTCAGTCACACTGTACAGGCCCTCCATATTATAGAAGGAGGTATTTGGAAGGAAATGGCCTGTATTTGTTTCCATGCTTTTTTTAGTTAATTTGTTTTACAGAGCATAGAATAAAATACTATGCTACTAAAAATTTATACTTTATTGTATTGAAAGACCCAAAAAACAAATCCCCAAACTTCACAGCACGTGGAATTAAAGCTCTGAAAGCAGGATGAGACCACAGCAATCTCTGGTCGTTGCTGTAGGACTAAGTTCTCCCACCAGTTCAGAATTGCAAGGCTTGTTCAACCCTTAATTTATTGAGTTTTAGACTTTTGCCAACCTAAAGTGTATCTTAAAAATATTTTTTTTCCCTCCAAAGGTGGCAGTGAGTTTTGCTTTTCGACAACCAGCTCAGATTTTCCCAGAGACGTCCTCCTGTTTTCAGTTGGCTTTCCCCCACACAGCCTACCTTTAAAGCCTGAAAAAAGGAGCAGTTTTGTTTCCTCATAACGCTGTGGTACAGGAGTCAGACACTCTTATACCATCATGCTCTACAAACCTTTCTTTTTCACTCTGCTTTCATAATGAGCAATACACACCTGCAGTATCGGTAGATGCCATTAAAGTGGCATTTCTTATAAGCAGAGTTTTCCAGCTAATAGGAAATCCCTTCTTGTGATTTCAGACATCCATTGTAGCAAAACCATTCTGACTTCAGTGCATGCAAGATGTTTGTGCTCACTATCTCTAGCCATGCTGGTTAGAACAAACTGAAACTTCTAGGAGTGTTTCATCAGCCTCAACTACAAAAACACAAACTGAAGTACACCCTGCTGGATAGGGACAAAGACCATTTGCCCTGCCAACTCAAACAGGAAGCTAAGCAAAAAAGAAAAAAGGCTGGTTGAAATCCTAAGCCCATTTAAGTTATTGGGAGTCTGGCTATTGATTTAAATTAGGCTCAGGCTTTTGCACATAATTCTTAATTCATGCATATTTTTTACTCATATTTCCCTCACTGTTCTAGATTTCATGCCTTTCATTAGGAACAGATGTGCAAAGCTATCACAGATAAGCTACCCAGCTTATTGTGACCCTCAGAAACAAGAGAGGAAAGTAGCTGGGACTAGTGCAGGGTTTCCAAGGCTTGGGAAGTCCCTACTCCTAGCCCTGTTCCATCCCAGCCCCAGACTGTAAGCATTACTGAAACACTGAGTGAAGGGTGTGGGTGTGTGCTGGTACAGAACCTGCAGGTGAGTGTCCCTGCAGCCTGGGTGGCCCAAGCAGATGCAGCAGGGAGCAGTATTTCCCAAGAAGCTTCTGACAAGTAAGAAGCAGCAGGAAAGAAAGGCCTTGCTGGAAAGGCTGAGACCAAGTTGTTTGCATATAGAATCATAGAATCACAAGGTTGGAAATGACCTATAAGATCATCTAGTCCAACCGTCTCCTCATCACCACTACCACCACAAGCACTAAACCACATCACTCAGCACATCACCCAGACACCTCTTGAACACTGCCAGGGATGGTGACTCCACCACCAGCCATTCCAGTGCCTACCATTCTCTGAGAGAAAT